CCAGCCCCCGCGCTCTCCTCCTCCAGCCCGCGTGCTCCCGACCGACCGATCGCGGGATCTGGGACCTCACTGGGCCCGCTCACTCCTTCGGCCGCGGCCGCTGCGGAGAAAAGGAGCAGCTCTGCGGCCCGCCCGACCGGAAGGTGCTCAGTCCTGCCTGCGTTCAAAGAAGCGCCTCTCCTTAGGGGAGGCCGGCTCTTCGGCTGGGATGTCGGTGATGTAATGAGGGCATCTACGCAGAGGCTTCCGCGCTGGGAAGGCTTCTCCGCTGCCCGCGGCTTAGAAACGCAGCTGGAGCCCCCAGGAGTCCCTTCTGATCTCCTGCTGGTCCCCAGGCCCCGTGTTAGCCACCCCAGCATCCTGCCGCAGGCGCATGGTCCTGTGCATATTTGATACGGGGGTGGGGGGGATACAGGCCACCGCGTGCCCTACCTTCCCCACCCCCAAGCTCGCTGGACTTGGTGTGCATGGTGCAGCGGGTAGGGAGGCACAGGAACCCCGCTCCGGGCCCCAGAGGGCGCCTGGCAGAAGCCTCCGTGGGCCCCTTACGCCACCACTGTCACCTGCTGCATAAACCTGCAGCCTTCCCGGCCAGTCCGGCGAGCGTGCACACTTGCCAGGCGCCCCTGGGCCGGGCAGTTTCCCAGCACCAGCTGCAGGTAAGCTTGGCTGTGAGCAGGACTGTCCACTGGTGGTTGCTGTCAGGCAGAGCCGCTTGCCTGACCTCCTGCCTTGCTTAGGCTTAGGCTGCCCCCAGGTAGGGGCAGGCCCCAGACATGCAGTGCCAGTTCTGCACAGGGCTGTCCTTCCTAAAGGCACCTGCCATTCTCTGCTCTCACCGTGGACTGCAAATTCCCCCACTGGAAGGAAGTAGGCTCAGGACCACCCAGTGGGGGCAGGACGAATATCGGGGCAGTTAATGTTGTGCATGTGTGTATGCGTGCGTGTGTGTGTGGGGGGGGTAACTTGCTATGTGATCTTGGAAAACCCCCTTCTGTCCTGGGCTTTGGTTTCCACATCTGACTGGAAGATTGGTTGGGATATTTCTCCCACTGAGGGATGCTGAGGGAGGACCACGAAGAGGATGGAAAAGGACAGGGAACGGTGGGCATGGCCTTCTTCCACGCTAACCCTGGGAAGTGCCATCGGAAGGAGGCAGGCAGGTACGTGACCTTTGGACAGCCCCTCTCAGGTGTCCCCTGAACCTGAACAAAACAAAGAAGGCCGCAGTGGTCTCCCCGAGAAGAAACTGGGGTGTGAAAGTCTGGGAGGAGGGCAGGCAGGGAAGGGACAGGGAAAGGGGGACACTGGCAGTGGGTGAGTAGCCCTGCCTGCCTGATCATTTGCTGGAATCCTGCTCTCTGATCCCTCAGGGGAGCACTGGCACGGGGCACTCTGCAGAGTCTGGGCTAGGCCCGCGTCAAGGCCACCACTGCCTTTGGGCAGGGACAGGTTGTTAGCTTGGTCTCCCAGCCTCAAACCCGGGTGGGGTGGCTCAGTGCCAAGGTCTAGCATCCGTGGGCCAGAGCACGAGGCTGGCATCATGACGGCAAAGTGAGGGTGATCTCACAGGAGGGGTCTCCCATGGGAATGGCGCCCAGAATGGGTCTGGCCTCTCCACGACATGGTCCTGGCCACCTCTTCCCCGAGTCCTGCTGCTTCCCTGTCCTCCTTCACAAGTGTGTCCTCGCTCAGCCTGCGTCAGTTGTCACTGCCTGGCGTCCTCTTCCCCGGACACTCAGGAATGGGGGCAGCCATGGAGCATTTCCCCTAAGCCCTGGGCTCCAACTGCGTGAATCCTGAGCATTATCCACTCACTCATTCACCACTGTTACCGAGCATTGGCTGTGAAGTCCAGGCCTTCTAAAAATTATTCGGGAATGTGTCCCAAATAGTGCCCCTTATGCAGCCGCTCCTGGAGGTAACTCTCCAGCTTTTCCTTGCTCAGAATGCATTGTCTATAGACACTGTGTGGGGCACTGGGGCTGTAGAAGTACCTCTGTCCTGGAGTGAGCACACTGTTTAGTGGGGAAACCAAGCCAGTAAACCAAGACGGCAGCTTGCTGTGTTGAGAGGGTCAGCCTGGGGAGCACAGACACCTGCTTCCGTCAGCCAGTCACACTGATTCCGGAGTGAACACAGAGCTGCAGCACAGAATGAAGAGAAAGCCTCCAGCAAAAGGCACTGGGTACTTGGTATTTGTGGCTTATCCTTGGGACAGGGGTTGCATGGCGGCTGCCTCCCACCCTGTGCTCTGGACCCGCGACTTCCAGTATGAGCTAATTACAGAGTGCCATGGACCTTGTTCTACTGTGGTTCTTTCTTTTTCTCATGTGGGCCCCACCACAGGTCTTCCTTTCTCATCCATCCCATTCACTGGACAGTAGGTGCAAAGTTCATCAGGCCCTAGACCTCTGGCCACCCTTCCAAGCTCCGAGTACTGCACAGACCAGGAAGGGTGGCCCCGAGCAGTGGGTGGGGGAAGCCCATGCGCCTGGCAGCTCTGTTGCCCCCGCTCCTGGGTTGAAGGGAGGCTGTGAGCTGGGAAGAGCTGTCAATCCAGTGTGAATATTCACTACTTTAAAAAGAGCCAAGAAAAAAATCCCACTTGCCCCGAATCTGAGAAGGGCCTTGTTAGGGAGGCAGGAACTGTGCTGTAATTATCTCTGTGCTCCTGGGCACCACTATAAATACCAGGTGAAGAGGCAGCTCAGAAGGTTTGGATGGTTCCCAGGCTTTGGAGCTCCTTCCTGCCCCATCCTGTGTCACCTTCCCAGGGAGGAGCCTTCAGCTGGTCAGGGCCTGCCTGTCTCCGCTTCCGGGGCCACATCACCTTGCTAGACACCCTCTTGTCTCTTCAGCACCTGCCACTGAAATAGGATGTTTGCCGAAGTGTCTGGTGGCATCCTCACCCCTTGAGGTGGTCTGTGCGGCTAACGGAAGGTGGGCCGATAAGTTCTTCGGTCAAAGGATTTGTAGGAGTATTGCTTGTGACAACAGCTTCCATCTCCCTCATCCTCCGGGAATTCCCAAGGTTGCCTGTGGCTTTGCTCTGCAGGAAAGTCCTAGCCTTTCACCCCTAAAGTTAGACTTCGTGGGGGCTCCAGCTACTCATCACCCTGCCTCCTCCACTTCCTGAGGTCCAGGCTGACTGTCCTGAGGCTTCTCCTGTGCACGGAGGACAGTGGAGCTTGGCAGAGGCCACTCAGGACAAGGGCTGAGCTCACAGGCTCCGGTTGCAGCAGGGCCACCGTCACAGATACACTGTGTCTGCTGTGCTTCTGCAGAGCCAGCCCTTCCTGCCCCGGCCTGGGTTCCTTGGCACAGGTGTGGGCATGAGCACTGAAGAAGCAGAGTGGCAGAACTGAGCCTTCCACTGGGGTGGGCACAACTCGGAGGTGAGGTGTGGGATCGCCCACGAAGCCTGCTGTGTGATCTGACCAGAGTCCCACATCGCTAATCAAGTACCTTCCCAGGGAAATTAATGTCTCAGCCCGGGCGCTAAGGGGATGATGTTAAAGGCAGGGAGGAACTCTCAGCCCAGGGCTGCCCAGGCTGCCCCCAGCAGACACCACAGGGAGTGTCAGGTCGGGGTAGAAAGCTCTGCAGCATTTAAAAAAAAATTTTTTTTAAAAAATACAGACATCCTGCAGATTCCCAAAGGTGAGGTTCCCTGTTTTGAGAGTGGGCACTGTTTGTACTAATTCTCCCTCAGGGCGGAAAGTGGGCAGAGGAATCTGCCAGAGAGAAGCAGCGTCTGGGAGGGTTGGGGGGTGACCTGATCTCACAGTCCTGCTGCTGACAAGGCCATGCTGGAGGTGTCCAGCAGGGGGCCCACTCACACCAGCCAGAGTCCCTTTCCCCTGCAGGCCAGGGGCAGGGGGCTGCCCACCTCTGGATCCCTCTGCCAGGGAGTCCTGGAGCACACAGAGGGAAAACCAGGCCGAGGGAAGGCTGCCATGGCCAGCACCCATCTTCCACCTCAATGGGGTCCCCCACCTAATGGTGCGGTGCCCCTGGCCCCTGCGGAGACTGCAGCAAAAGTACAAATCGGCGTGCAAAGGAAGTTTATTTATCTGTTTAATTAAGAGGCATTTGCCAGCCACATTCGGGTCCATCCGTCTCACTTACAACCATGTCCCAGCAAAATTAAACATAATAAATACAGGGGAAAGTGAAAGCGAAGGGCACACTCGAGATATATGGGCCAAGCCAGAAGTTGCACAGGGCTGCAGTTATAAGCACATCTTTCTTTCACAAGTTTCTCTCCCCTCGGGGACCCAGGAGCCAGAGGACTGCTCTCGAAAAGGAGCTGTGGGTGCCATCTGACTGCTCTTTGCACTCAGCACTCTTGCCAAGCTTTATTTATTTTAAATGAGCCCCCAGGACTTCTCCCTTCTTCTCATCTGTAAAAAGGGAGAGGACTCGGCACAGAGCGAAAAAGCACATCTGAAAGCAGCTGCGGCTGTGATGTTCCACCTCGGGGAGGCTGGGGCAGAGGCCTCGGCAGCTGAAGCCTTGGGAAGTTCCTCACCGACTCCGACTGCGTCTGGCCCCTGAGCTCCTTGCAGGGCAGACGCATGGGCAGAGCAGTGCCTTGGAGGGGCGGCTCTCTGGTTCTCCATGCCAGCTGTGGCCAGGCCACCATCCAGGGCCTGGCCTCAGCATCCCACAGAAGTCAGAGGCAACATTTGTATTTCTGTCTCTGATCAAAGGCTCAAGAACGTGTCTGCTCGAAGCTCGCAGGAGTATGGGCATCCACAGGGGAAAATGGTGATTTATTATCGTTATTGATTGCTAACAGTACCTTGCCTCGGCTTCCTTCTCCCCTATCCTTTTCACAGTGCTTCACTGTGTCTCATCTGACTTGATCACGGCAAGGTAGGGAGGAAAGGTATAAATGAGGCCCATTTGCTACAGGATGACACTTTTAAGATCACAGAGGTAGCCCAAGGTCATGCGACTAGTTAGAGGCAGAGTCTGGGCTGCCACGCAAGACTCCTGACTCTCGGATTCACGGAACCTCTCGCTTCCCTTTGACGACTGTGCTTGGCACGCGCCCTTCTGCAAACATCCTCATCATTAGCCCTTGGCTCTCTCTCCTCACAGTATCAACCCCAAACCAAGTCCGTTAATGGAATAGTCGTTTGCAATAGCTGGGTATTTACTAATCACACAACTGCTCGGCCTGTGTGGCAATTATCTTGAACTTCCTCTTTCTCATTAGGCAGGAGGTCGTGAGAACTTGGTGGGTGGCTGAACCCTCTAATGAAGCCAAGGACAGGAGCTGCCAGTGGACTGAGGGAGCCCTTCTCCGGGGTCCTCCAGGCTCTGCTGTGCAGCGCTCCACTCCCTGGCTCCTTCCCCGTGCTCTGAGCCTGACCCACCTCGGAACCCTCCCGGCCCATTTAAACCTGTGCATGTCTCCTCCTTGGTGCCCGTGTGCAGTACCACATATGACCACAGGAGAGAGTCCTGGGAGGGGTGGGAAGGTGTCTGTCTGCCTGGAGATGGAGACTGTGGCTTGGCTTGGATCTCAAGGGAGAAGCCCCTGGATGGTTGGATCCTTGCTGTTTCAGGCGCCCAGGACATTGGTGGAGATGGTAGGACCGGGGAATCATAGGCACCTCACTGCTGGTGACAGTGCTAAAACTGCCCTTGGCACGCCTGCTGCCCATATGGGGTGTGTGGGGGGGTGTTCAGCACCAGGGACAGAGCCAGCGCTTGGGGTTGCTTCTTCCTGGTGACACAGACCCCCCCACCCCCCAGAGGAGAGCGAAAGGGAGCTGAGAAGCCTGAGGTGATAGGGCTGCAAAGGAAGTTGGGGTCATGATGCTGGTTCCTGCTCTAGCTGGCTGTCACTGAAGCCTGCAGGGACTGGTGCTGCTTGCTGTACTTCCCGACGCCCTCCGCTGCCCGTGGTACCCACGTAGCTTTTTATCCTGTTAGGAAAGCCTGCCTTATGTCTCACACGAGCCTTTCCCATCCTCACTGCATTCAGAGTGAAGGCCTTAAAAGAGAGACAAGGGGGAGATTGCACCCTGAAGCTGAAGCCGTCATCACCTTCTCTGACCCCCAGGAGGGCCTGGGGTCACCCGAGCGGAGCTCGTAGAGCACAGCTGCATGGCAAGGAAAGTGGCTGAATGAATCCAGCACTCGCAGTGGCCAGCAGAGCCCTGCAGAGGGGAAACTATGCCTGACATGGCCGCAGGTGGCAGGCCCCACTGCTGGGCCCGCTGTGCACAGGTTCGGTGAAAACTGCACTGAGGAAACCTGGGGGAAGGGGTCCGGGTTTGCTCTTTCATCAACAGGCGGGGTCTGAGCCGGCCACGGGCAGAGACAGCCAGGTGCCCTCCAAGCACCAGCCCCTGAGTGGAGCTGGCAGTTGAACTCAATGGGCTTCCGCTTAGCCATCAGCTTTTAAACGACTTCCTTTAGAGAAACCAGTGTCCCTTCTTCAGTATGGGGGGAAGAGAGGCTGCAGGAGGACAGGCTCATAGCAGCAGAGAGAAGGGATGGTGGCCAGGGACACCCTGGACCCTGCACTGGGAGGTTCAGTCCTTCAAAACAAGGAGAACTTCAAGACTCTGGATAAAGTGTTTGCTCTAGCCCAGGCCCCAGCACTCAGCTAGTTAAACACAACCTCAAGGTCTCAGGAAGCAGAACGCAAGAGGCTGGCAGCATGCTCTTCCTCTGCCCCTTCCTGACCCCTAAAGCCAAAGCATCAGCTCATTAAAAGCTCATTAGGAGCCCGAGGCACACAAAGGCCCGGGGAGGCGGTGCTGTCCTGGCAAAGCGCACGGCCCCGGGGAAGCCGGTGCACCGGCAGGCAGCCAGTGCCAAGCTGCAGACAGGCGCGGGGAGAAGCAGCCCCAAGGTGGCCGGCAGTGGGAGGCTGGGGTGGGAGGCTCCTCCAGCACAGCCTTGAGGGAGCTGAGCTGGTCCCTGGACTCGGAGGTGGGGACAACCTCGGCTGGCAGGAAGCAAACGGACACAGATGCTAGCTCACAGCTCATCTCCCCAGCTGGGCCGAATATGGAACTCCTTTCTCTGGCTCTGAGGGGCTGAGGGGAGGAGGGTGCTAGGCAGGACCCTGGCTAGCGTTCAGCCCTGCCTGGCAGCTGAAAACACACTGGGGAAGTTGTGTGAATTTCTGCCCGGCGTGTGTGCAATGTAAGCAGAGAAAGAGGCAGTGGCTGCGGTGTGCCCTTCAGAGTCCCTAGAGCTTGCCAGGGACCAGGGGAAGCAGCTCATCTGTGGACGGTGGGGAGTATGGTCTGACCTA